TGTAGCTAACGTATTTGACAGTCGAGTTCTTTTTTTTTTAATAATCATTTAAACTTTTTGGTTTTTCATGTCTGTGTGAATAAGTGACGCAAATTGTGCGTACCCCCCACAGAATATATAGCATTCTTGTCCACAGCCTAATTTTCGTGTGTGCTACAACGTCTACGTGGACAAGGGTCTTGCATATCGTTTGAAACTAAAAATTTCTGCATGAAGCATGATTAAAAAGCAATAAAGAATAAATCTACACTATTAATTATATAATAATGTTTAGTATTGTTAAAAGAGAAAAATCAGCTTACCAAGAATAGAACAAAAAAAGTAACTACACCTTTGAAACACTTTGTAAACACAAGAAACCTTGCTTTTATCGTGCAGGAATTACTGAAGCGTAACTATTTTTTCGTTCTCTGTATTTAATCGGTTTTCTACTTATGAAGAACTGAATCTGTATATTGTTCATTAGATGATATTGTTGACGAATCACATACATAGTGACTTTTGTTCGATGAGTAAAAAAAAGAATTGTATAACATATTCGAAAAAACATATTTCACTTAGACAAACGAAGAAAAATATAACTCATTATGGAAAGATCAAAATGAAAAAATCCAACTTTTATGAGTTTCTGTCATCTGACCTCTGTTGACAATATGTTTTAAATTTTCATGAGTCTTGATCCCTCTAGACTCACATAGTGCATCGAATTTCTTCTGTTTCTGAAAAATTTTGATTAGTATCACATCATCATCCAAGGAAAATAATTCAAGTTGGCAAAATGATTTGCATGATCCAGTCATTTATAAACACGCATGAGTGTATTTTTCATTTCTCTCTTCGGTTCTGATCAGTTTTAGTTTTTCCATCCATACTATTTCAGTTATCTATTTCCTTCGTTTCCATGATGTGTTCAATCAACCATATATTTGTTATATCATAGTGTTATGAGTTTTTTTTTTTTCATCTTTTTCATTTCTATCGAATATCTAATGTTCGTTTTAGAGTTAAATGGCTGTGGACATTTTATGAATAATATTAAAAAGAAAAAAATAATTCGGATTTTAACACTATCTAAAGTTGACATGGCTCGATCTTTTTGGATTGTAGGTGTTATTTTTTCTTCAGCTACTACTTCATCCACATGTCTGTACTAATGATACATTGTATATTGATTCCTAGACAGTTAGTCTGGACCAATATGAAAATATATACCTGATCACTTTCAGTAAAATCTTTATATTTTTAGAGTGCTTATCTCTATCAATCTCAGGTTCGTGTGGTTTGATAAAAAAGAAGTTAGAGAATTTTTCTATAATATAATAGTTGAGAAAGTATATTATTTTCAAAATGAATTAAGATTATCTTCAAAACTCATAATTTATTCAAGAAGAAAAGTGACTAGAATTTTTCATTGACTTTGTAAAAACCAAAAATAGAAACATGTCAACTCTAGATAGTGCTAAAACTCAACTTATTTTACAGCTATTCAAATTGTCCACAATCATTTAACTCTGAAATGGACTAATTATAGTCGAATAATTATAAAGATAGTTTCAAAAGTGTAATTCTTGGTGTATTCAAAAAAAAAAAAATAATAATAATATTTCATTCATAAATTGAAATAATCTAAAACCATTTATTCAAGTTAGTCGAAATCATCACTTCTATTCAAAAACTTTCAATCAAACTAAAAAAGATCATAAGAAAATATTTGATACGAATTCATTTAGTAAAATATGAAAAATTGTTTAAATATGATTACATTAAAATATAGAAGAAGAAGAAGAAAAAAAGAGATCGTTGCTTATTAATAAAATTAGAAGTCTAATAATGTGTTCATTTCAAAATAAAAAATCTTTAGAATTCAATATACTGTTATCATAAAATCTATTCGATAGATGGCTCGAGTTATCGAAAACACATATATACATAAGAAACTTAATAGATTAAGATAGTTAACCAATGAATAACTAACTTGAATATCATCATCATAAATACAAAAATATCTCTCTCATCAATTGAAATTTTACTCACATAACAAAAATGATGGGCAATGATGAATTAAAAGTTTTGGATAATTTTCACAAAGATTTTATTCATGATACTGCATTCAATTTTTATGGTACACGAATGGCTACTTGTTCAAGTGATGGATATGTTCGAGTTAGTATCTTTTTTTTTTCTTCAATATTCAACATAAATAATCTCTTTTTTATTTATCAATTAAATTAGATATATGATCTACATGATGATACATGGCGACCATCCGGTTCCTTTTCGGTAAAACATGTACAAAAGAAATTTATTTGTTATTAATTTTTTAGTATTTTTTTTTCTGTAGCTTCCTTTACAAACAGGTCCTATGATACGGTAAATAAATAACATTTTCAAATATGTAGATTTTATTTTGAATAAATAGAGTAACATGGGCTCATCCCGAATTTGGTGGTATTCTTGCAACAGTAGCTTATGATCGTTTTGTTAATGTTTGGTATGAAGTAAGTTTCTTTATCTATCAATTTTTACTTTACAATCTTCTCTAGTATAGACTCCAACAGGACCTAATGATCCATCAGAATATGCTACAAAATGGGTAAATAGAGGTAATGAACACTTTTTTTTTTATAAAAAAAACTTTTTGATACAATATTTTTATATCAGATCAATTTCTCGATTCATTTCTGTTTGGCTCTTCTGAACAACGATCATCAAGTGCGGATACTGGTTCACATTCATCGGCTTATAATACAGTAGCTATACAATTTGCTCCAAAACATCTTGGTCTTATACTTGTATGTTTTAAATATTGTTCATTTGATGAATTATACATTATTTTTTTTTTCAGGCAACAGTTTTTTTTGATGGTCGAGTACGTATTTATGATTTTCAAGGTCCAAATGTGGTTAATAAAGAAGAAATACAAACAAAAATGTCTAATTTAAGTTGTATTTCATGGAGTACAGCTAGGTATAAAAATTTATTATTTTTGTTTTTTCTTCCTAAAATGAAAATATTTATTGAATTTTATTTAGACATCATTTAGCTCCATTAATTGCTGTTGGAAGTGATGATTGTAATACGGGTACTGGTGCTAAATTACAATTATGGGAGTATGCACCTGATAGGTAAGGTAAAGTTTTTGTTTTGGTTTGAAGCTTTTTACGTTTCTTTTTTTTTTTTAAGAAAAGCAGTAAAAGTTGATTTAACTACAGTGAACATGTTATTACAAAATGCAATTAAAGATATTCAATTTGCACCAAATTTTGGTCAATCTTATCATTTACTTGCTGTTGCTTCAAATGATATTGATTTATTTACTATAAAACCAGCAAAGTAAATAATGTTTGCGTTCAAAGTTTTACATCACTTTTCATCTGTTTTGAGTCATGTATTTAAACAATACAACATTAATTTAATACTATTACATGTCTGAATAGTAGAGATGAGAGAGTTTTATGCAAAATGCAGGACATTATTACTCAGTCATCGTGTTTTGTAGGACTTTCTATGAAGAATTCTGTTGAATGAGATAATCTATTCCGAATTGAGAAACTAAATACATTATGTTATAGAGCGAGTCGAGACGTGTTGAATAATATATAGTAAATTTTATTTTCATAAAAATTTCAAAGAACAAAAGTCAATTTACTGATACACGACTATATACTCTACTTATAATCAATTACTAATTATTGTAATCATTATTATTAATTAAAAATTTTTGTAAAAGAAATTTATTTATTACGTATAGTTTTGGAAAGCTTTTTACAAGCTACAAGCTTATATAATTAATATCTTTGGAAGTTGGACTGTGAATCTTTTTTTTTCAACCATACTCATGATGTATATCGTTTCTCACGTCTGTATAGATCATTTAATCCAACAGGGTCTTTTATAATAATAATAATAATATTATTTTGTCTATTTTTTGTAGCACTAAAGTGTGCCTGTTTTTATTGTATTTCATATTCAACACTTCATCATATGAAACACTTGTATGTATACAGTACTCTATCTCTGTTATATGGGAATAAAATCGTATTAAATTAATGTTGAGCAGTTTAAATACATGACTCAAAATAAAGAAGTGGTGCGAGACTGTTGACATTCGGCTATATGTTTTTTTTTGTATTTTATGTCCTATCTAAATATGATTCTTTTTATGTAGAGGAGAATTGAATAATAGTAGTGAAAATAAAGCACAAACATATGATGTTACAAGAATTATTACATTAGATGATCATGGTTCAACGGTAACAAATAGATTTTTCTTTTTTAATCATGTATATTAAGCATAAAATTTTGTTTTAAATATAGGTATGGAAAGTTTGTTGGAATGTATTTGGTTCAGTACTATATAGTTGTGGTGATGATGCAAGAATTCGAATGTGGAAAGGTTCGATAATAAATAAAAGAAAAATCTTATTATATTTAATATTTTAGGTACCATTAATGGTCCATGGAAATGTGAGACTAATATAAGTCTTCAAGCAGAAGCTCTTGAAAAAGCAAAAGCCAATGCAAGTCAATCAACAGAACCGGTAAATTTAGAAAAAAAAAAAAAGAAGAAATTAATACATATGAAATTTTTTTTTTTTTTTTACTTTAGGTATCAACATGAGAAATAATTCTAATCGATTGGTGTCAGATTAGTATTATATTAAAATATTTTTCTTTTGTATATGCAATTCGTTATATTTGATTAAATAAAAAAAATTACAGGATTGAATACTTATAAATAAAATCAGGTTTTTTTTTAATTTTATGCACTTCATTTGAAGCCTTGTTTTTTTTTTAAAAAAAAATATGTTCTGAATAGTTATAGAACGTGATCATTATAACGAAGTATTTCTTCATACATTCTAAGAGAATGATAGAAACATGTTCGTTGTTATAAATCATATCATGTGATAATTTTAAAAAAAAATGAAACTACAGAAAGTAACGACATTTAAAGAGTTCCGTGTATTTTATCATATTATATATTAACAATGTCTATTTCAAATAAGTGGATTTTTACCATGTAAATTTGCTGAAATAGGTTTATTATCATTATCTGTAGATACATTTTTGCTAGTAGTTATACGATGACTACGACGTGATGAACGATCACTAGTATTTGGTGACATTGGTGTTAAGAATCGTGAATAAGGACGCCATGTTTCTGTTACATATGGTGTAGAACTTTTCTGTGGAGTTGGATTTGATCGACTAAAGATGGAAGCCGTTGATGATCGATCCGTTGCAGTTGATGCTCTTTCGTTTGCAGTTTGTACTCGATCAATTAAAGTTGATGTTGATAATCGTTTAGCTGGTGTAAGAATTCGAACTGGTGATGTTGCTCGTTCACATGTATCATTATTATCAATAATTAATTTTGATTGTTGTTGATGTTGCCAAAATTTGTATGGCCAATAAAGACTGAAAAAATTATTGATACAAAAAAAAAAATATTTTTAAATTTTACTTATATAAATTTGATGTCGTTGGAGATTGATCACAAATTGATTTATCAGATACGATTAAGTTTTCATGGTTTTGCATATCTTGCATAGTTCTACTGATTAATTCCATTGCTAAACGTTTTTCTATACAAATTTTAAAAAAAAATACATACATGTAGAAGAAAGAAATCTATAAAATCTTTTACAAACCAGTCACATTGGCATTAACAAGCCAATCTTGTGCTTCATTGATATTATCAACATGTAATATATGACAAAGAATTGGAAGCAACTTTAAAATTAAATTTTAAAATTGAAGAAAAAAAAAATATTATATTGAAATTACCCATATACCGGAATCTTGATTTTCGTTGTTAGTTGATGATTCTTGTTCGTTAGCACTAATCGATATTTTAGATTTTGTTACAGGCGAAAATTGATGACGTGTATTTGGACGTCGATTCAATAATTTTTTATAATTATTTTGTTCGTTATCTTCGTCCAAATGATAAATTGGTACAGAACTAGTACCTCTTCTTGAACGATATTGTGTTGAACGAGATGATCGAGATTGGTGTGACTCATTAAGATGTGATAATGATGATTGAACTTGTTGAGCTAATCCTATCAATTCCTGGCGCCAATCATGTGTTATATTATCTATACAGAGTTTTTCATGAATACCTAAATTCTTATATTTATAATAATAACAAATGACTGTTAACTGTACTATGAAATTTTGATTTATTAAATATCCTGATAACCTTGTAAATAAAATTTGTCAACATGATTTATTTGAAATTATCCATGAATAAATGTGAAATAGTTTATTAGCTAAGAATATTTCTGTGATACTATTAAGAAATATACAATTCATTTCGTCTAGTAAGTGAAATATATTATATTGAATCGATAAAAACAAGAAATATATAAGTTCTTTTTTTCTTCATGAATAAAATAAATTTTTGATGAAAATTGAAATCTATGAAAACATCTAGCATGAACATAAGATAATCTTATGTTAAAATCAATAAGATTCAAGTTTGAATAAGGCTTTGCTTTCTTTTTATTTTTAATACATCAAACATATGACCTTGCAACTTTATTTTAACTAAAGTTATAAATAACTGATGGAATTTTTTTTTTCATTCGTTTCGATTCATTATTAAGTAACGTGCACATATTGTCTCAACTTACATAGACCAAAACGATTTGTCTTTCTTAATGGATTCTCATATGCTGATGGACTAACATAAGCTGAATCTTCAACATAAGGAATATATCCATCTTTAATATCTATTGAAAATATAAAGAATAAATTAGAAATGAGAAATGTTTATTGAATACTATGAATATATTTCAAACGTTGTGGACAAGCAATATGACGAGCAGGACGTATTTGTCGCCCATCATTGCATAGTGTTTCATTTGAAAAAGTAGAACCATAAACTAAATAAGCCAATATATGAAATCACTTCTATTTTTCATATACTCACAAGACATTGTTAAAATGAATAAAACGTGTGATCTCTATTTAAAAATCAAAGTAAAACAGACACAACAGTGATTCGAATAGAAAAATAATATATAATTCTGTCAGACTGAATGGATTCTTTTTTTTACTCTTCTTATTATGAAAAGAAATAATTGATTTCTTCTTTCTTGCCAACCAACGAAACAACAAAAATATAACATTATTTTGTATATTCTAACTACCAAATAATCAATAAAGTCAAGTCAAACAAAACAAAAATAAATAAACCTTCTAATGTTCATGTCAACTCGACAAAATATTATAAAATCCACATGAATGATAAAGAATTCAACCGCTTTGTTTTTTTCTTCTGATACTATCAACTCAATTTTATTCTCAGCATGATATTAAAATCTTCATATAACGAAAAAAGAAAAAAGAAATATGATTGATTGTATTCTAAGATGACTGACAACAAGAATAGTAAACGACGTATTTTTATACGAGAACATGTATATAAACGAGATAATTATTTAGATGAAGTTGAATTTGAATTTATTGATGACTTTGAATCTAATTCATCTATTGAACAAAATTATAGTTTATGGTTAAGACGAGATCATTATATGAAAACAATTTTACGACGATATGGTTATAGTGAAAATAAAATGCCAACATTTGAAGAATATATTGATACAATACGATCATTGATTGTTGGACATTGTTGTTCTGAATATGATCTTCGTCGAGCATTTCATATATTTGATCTTGATCAAAATGGTATTATTGAATTACATGAATTTTATCAATTCATAAGTATTATTGGAAGATCAACAACAGAAGACAAAATATCAAATTTTATTGAACGTATTAATATATCCGATGATAGAAATTTGAATTATGAACAATTTAAACAATTTGTTAGACTTGGACATGGAAGAGAAATGCTTGTTAATGTTAGTTTGTAACAATAATAAATAGAACATTCATCTAGTTTTGAATATATGAAGGACACATATGTATTTCATTAGAATATTCATTGTTTTTTATTTATTATGTAACATGAAGTTGACATTCTTGCATAAAATAATTGTTTTATTTGAACATCTTATTGGCTAATAAATCGTACACTTAATATTGTTATTGAAATCTTGAGCTATCAAAAGAGATCAAAAAGAGATCTTTGTTTTTGTCGAAACATGGAATATATTTATCTTCTTTTTGAACTGATAACTTTGAGTTCACTAAATATTTTTTTCCTAATAAATAAATCATGGGTCAACAGCAAGCAACAAAAATAAGGACAAAACTTCTATTATTCAATCGATAGGAAATTGATTTGACAATATTTTTCATTTTTTCTAAGAAAACAATGAGTTCTAGTCTATCAGTTGATCATTATGTTTATATATATGTCTTTTCGACTACATAAAAATTTATATGTAGCATCAAGATGGAGGCTGAAAAGAGCTAAGTTTGGAATGGATCAGTGCCTCAGTATCGACAGTTCTGAATAATATCTCATCAGAAATACTTTAAACATTTCAGGTAGATAAATCTTGTCTAGTAGAGAAAAAAGTTCTCATTGACTTGGAATTTGAAAATACCTTATGTTAGGAAATACTTGGATAGCAAAGATTCAAAACGATCCCGCTGTCTCAGCCACAATATGTCCAACAGAGCTCGAATTTTTTTCAGATGAGTACTTGTAAAAATGTTTTAGTTTGATCAAATGTATCATGTGGTAGAAACGGACGTGATTCTTCTCTTTTCTCATGTAAAAATTGATTTCGAACCAAGCGAAAATGAAGTTTTCTATATGTATCGGAACATTTTTCTCGAGCTATTGCTATTGAACACAAGTCATGTTCAGCAATATTAAAGATTCATGACTATGCGTATTCTCAGCATCTTCGAAATAAAAAATAATAATTATCATTACAAGAAAGCTGCATACGAAGAATAATTGCAGTACCAAGTTTTTTTACTAGAGATTTCAAGAATTGAACTTCTTAAAAGTATTAACTAACTATAAAGAACTTTCATTTAAATGACATTTGACAGAGGATACTTAGAAGTTATATTCACAATGAAAAACCAAAAATCGAAAAAACAACCGAAAAGGAGGAACCTTCTCAAGAAGTTCTACAAAACTTGTCTTCATAAAAAGCAGTGACACAAAATCGGCAGTATTAGGATGGGAAGAGAATTGATAACTCACGTATTGATATATTTTTTCAGGATTTTCTGGAAAACTCAACTAAGTACTAGCGTAGGTGATATATGCAATACAAAGATATAGGCTGTGCGTGATCACTTGTGTCGGTATTGTTGCGTTTGTCTGTGCAATATTTTCTCCGCTGGTACTTAATTGGTTTTTCGAGGATATTCGTAGATATCATACGAAAAAAGAAGACTGATTAGAAGATTTTTGCTAAAGTTGATTGAATTTCAATATACTAATGTTCATTTATCAACACATCATACATGTTTAGTTCTATCATAATATGTTTCAATCATATTCAACTGACATCTATAGTGATGCAATTTAATTTGTTTTGAATAATATTAAAAAGCATTGATGATTCGAAAGACACATCTGATACACATTAACGGCAAGAGAATTTTTGATAATGTGGACGTTACTAACAGGTCTTTATCAATATTTAACTCAAAAAGATGATTATTATATTTTAATTGTTGGTCTTGATAATGCCGGTAAGACAACATATTTGGAACAAACAAAAACAAAATATTGTCCTAATTATAAAATGATGAATCCATCAAAAATAACAACAACTGTTGGTTGTAATGTTGGTACAATTGATATAGGAAATATTCGTCTTAATTTTTGGGATTTAGGTGGACAAGAAGAATTACAATCATTATGGGATAAATATTATGCTGATTGTCATGGTATTATTTATATAATTGATAGTGCTGATCGACAACGTTTAGAAGAATCATGGTTAACATTTGATAAAATGATTCAATCAGAACAATTAACAAATGTACCATTATTAGTTTCATGTAATAAACAAGATATTGAAGAATGTATGACTGTACCAGAAATAAAACGTATATTTAATCGTTCAACATCGAAAATTGGTGTTCGAGATTGTATGGTTTTAGCTTGTTCAGCTTTATCAGGTGATGGAATAAATGAATCCATCAATTGGATGAAAGATTGTATTATAAGAAATTCAACGATACGACCATCAAAACGTCAAGACATTGCATAAGAAAAAACCCTATATATTTTGTTGTTGTTGTTGTTATTATTATTATTTTATTAATATATTTAATGAATCTCTAATTTTAACGATTTCAAAAATATTTGCAAACATAAAAGTAATTTATCAAAAAAAAAAAAATTCCTTATGCTATTCTTCATACATGAATTACTCTAACAAATTTATTATTTTTGTTATCAAATAGTTTTCAAAAACAGCTAGAACTTGTACAAGACTTGATTTGAATTTTTTTCTCTTTTTTTGCATATTCGCTTAAGAAATGTGCTTTAGCAAATTGTTGTCTTATTTCAAATGCTACAAATAAATAATAAAATTAAAACACACATAAACATTGTTCATCTACATATTGTCCTATAAGTTAACTTCAATATATTTGGTAAGAATAAACAAAAGTAATAGAAGAAAAACGTTCAGACAACAGAACGAAGAAATAATTGCACATGATTGAAGATAAATATGAAATAATGTGATGACATTCATAAAGGTATATATTATAACTACGCTACCTGCACAATACGAGCATAACACATGTGATAGTAGAAGAACAGTATACATCAACTATACCTTTTGTATAAGCGTTTTTAATGATCCATGACGTCTGAATAAATGGTCTACGGTATTTCTATGTCTTAGCACATGTCTTGCTGAGTTGTTTTTTTTTTTCGTCTTGTATTTACTTGAATTCGATCAGTTGTTTTCTTTTAGATATCGATTTTATGTTGTATTTTAATGAAAATGCTTGTAGCAAATAATGTCAACAAATAAAATCATAAAACATGCACCTTGTAATTCGTCGTTATACATATCGTGCTACTCTCTATATAATTCTCGTTTGGTTTTTAATCATTTTTATCTTATTTCAATTACATAATTCAACCACAAATTCTAGCGATAAACAAACATTTAGTGAAGATGAAAATACCGACGAACTTGCAGAACTTAACATTAATCCACATGATTCGATTAATTTTATAAAAAGATCAATTAAAAAATTAGATAATAAACAAGAACAACTAATGGCATCAAATATTGATGATAAAAAAGTTGATCTAAATGGGCCAGGTGAAATGGGTAAACCAGTTGAAATTGATAAAACTAAATTATCACCATATGAACTTATAAAATATGAAAATGGCTTTGAAAAACATGCATTTAATGTATATGCTAGTGATTTAATATCATATCATCGTAGTTTACCTGATGTACGTGATCCAGATTGTCAAAAACTTCAACATGAACCTATATCATTAACAGCAAGTATTATTATGTGTTTTCATAATGAAGCATGGTCAGTATTATTAAGATCAATACATTCAGTTATTAATCGTAGTCCTTCATATTTACTAAAAGAAATTATTCTTGTTGATGACTTTTCTGATATGGGTAAGAAAGATTTTGTTTTTCTGTGTTTGAAATCAAGACTCTGTTTTTTTTTTTTTTTTTAATAGAACATCTAAAGAAACCATTGGATAAGTATATAAAGCATCTTAAAATAGTGTCAGTAGTTCGACAAAAACAACGAGAAGGTTTGATACGTTCACGTTTAGCAGGTGCTGCTATTGCAAAAGGGGATGTTATTATTTTTCTTGATTCACATATTGAAGCTACAGAAGGTTGGCTTGAGCCTTTACTTGATCCAATATTACAAAATCGTACATTTGTTGTAACACCTGTTATTGAAACTATTGATGACACGACATTTAAATATATGCCTATTCCTGTTACAGTAATAAGTACTGGTGGTTTTGATTGGAACTTACAATTTGATTGGCATC